TTTTTAAGACAGGGTTGTTTTTTTGATAAAAATTATAAGATGATACACTTTTTAAAGCTTAAAGTTTACTTTACTTTACTTTAATTTGAGTTTTAAGTTCTAAAAAATATTTTGACTTTATTCAAGTTCTAACTTTGCCAAGTTTAAGTCTCTCCAAGCAAAGGCTTGGAATATGACTAGGGACAATACTATTTAACTAGGTTAAACTACTTTTTTGCATAAAATCGTCTAAATAAGATATGGCAATTGGAGAACTTGATGTGCTCATTACACTGACCAGATTCTGGTCGAAAATTGCCCAAAAACGGCTCTACAGCGGGCCATGGTCAGATTTTGGTCGGAAGTAAAAATTTGGAGAACTAATAGGTCTGACCAACCTATTATCAGAAATTGCCGGCGACGCCCGAGGATCTTCAGAAGGCTTTGTATATCCTTCTCGTGTTTGAAGTAGGATATCGAAAGAGTTATTTATGAAATCAAAGTTTTTGGAAAATTATTGGAAACACATTTATTCGACCCGAATATTTAAGAGAGCAAATTGGGAAAGTGAACGCGGCATTTGTGGTATTGGAAGATCCCTATTCGGTTTTCTTCTTTTCATGGGACTTCCTACAACAACAGCATCTGACTAGAGCACGGAGGATACGGTAGAAAATGTAGAAAACAAGGAAAATGACAGTGAAAAGGAAACCAATAACATCAAGAGAATGATATTGGAAGAAATTGAGTCTCTGTCCAGAAGGTTCCAAATTATCCAGAGTTTTGAACTCGGCAACGAATTGTGACCATTTCAGAAGACGTTCGGCAGGTTTCATTGGTTGGGCACGGACCATTGCAGAGAGACGACTCACTTTTTGTTTGTAACTGAAAATGGGGAAAAATTGGAATAAAATGAAAAGGAGATTCGAAACAAAGCTATCATTTTCAATGACCTCTTTCAACGCCTCAACAATCGTTTCTTTTGAAATTGTTCCTTTTTGAATATTAACAGCGAATCCATGTTTCTTTGCAATTTGAGCATTTTTCGGTTGATCACCGAATAGAGCAATTGTGACAAGTGGTACTCCAGCTGAGATTGCTTCCTGAATCAAAAAATATTTTTGGGTTCATTATGTTTCTAAAATATACCTGCATAGAATTATATCCTCCCTGAGTAATAAATTCCTTGTGAAGAAGAAGATCTTTTGCGGAAGCCATTTGGATAAATGTACATTTTTCGGTAATCTATCATTCAGATCAGTTCCCAAATATCTCATAACAAATTGATAATCTGGAAGAGATGAGAATGCATCGAGAATTGCATTTTTCCATTCTAAAGGCATTTCATGATCCAAACGTTTTTCCACCGATCCAAACGAGAACGCAATTATTCCTTTTCCAGTTTCTGAGATTGTTTTGAACTCCTGAAACGAAAAAATTCAAATTTGAAAAATCCACAGAAAACCCACTCCAGTTAAAGGCTAAGCACTGTCAAATCCAACTCCTAGTCCTCCAATATTTACTACTTTTGCCAAAGTAGGACGTGGCAGGTCATAAAGTTCGTTGCTGTTTACAATGATATGAAAACTACATCCGTATTGATAAAATTAAAATTAAAAACATACCAATGGGCATTTTGCTCCAATATCCATTGTATGTGGGAAAGATGGATCGTTCAATTCCTCACGGAAAATCTGCGTTTCCGCATCGGAAGACATTCTAAAATACACATTGTTTAGTGCAGATCTTTTGATAGAACCTATTTTCTGTGGAATAGAGTCATCAAGAAATGTCCAATAAAACTTTTTGTTCTAAAAAAGAATCCCATTACATCATGAGACTCCATCATGACAGGTGGAACATAACTAGGAATGATTGGAACTCCGGTAGTTTCAGCAACGTAGTCCATAAGTGGTCTCACTGTTCAACCAAACCCAAGATGGAATCTTGGCTGTATGAATTAATCCAATTGGACAAGTAGAATAGATGTATGCGTATGCAACATCAAACTTTTCATCTTCCAACCATTTCATAAATTCCTTGTTTCTAAGAATTGTGCGACATCCTTCTTGGAACATCTCTCCGAAACGACTGAACAGTGCATACTTTTAAGTCCAGCATCTTTGAATATCATAGCAGATTGCTCTTTTTCAATTATTTGATTTGTGATTCCCTCTATGAAAGCATCGAGATGGTAACCTTAAAAAGTTTAAGTATAAGGCATATAATGCTTTTTGAAACCTACTTTTGACTCCTTTTGGAATCTTCACATCAGTCTTAAAATCAGATAAATGATTGACGAAGAGCATAGTGACATTGTGACCTCCATTGACAAGAACTTCTGCTTCACGAGCACAGAATTGTGCCTGAAAATAAATACATAATCTCAAAACATTCCTAACTGTTGGGTCATCCGTACCTGACTATTAGCCATATTTGGTACAAAAATAACATATTTGTACGAGGCGACTGCTCCTAGGAGCAATGATAACAAAGCAAATATTTTCATTTTTAGTCTGAAAACTGAGTTTTCCCAGCTGGGCCCGCATCTTTAAATATTGTTTTATTGGCATCATGAGAGATAGTCAATCACAAATGTACTTCTTCCCCGGAGAAGGTATTCTGACAGAAGAAATTACGAGAGACACTAGAAAACCGTTTGGAAGAACAAGAGACGCAGAAAAGCAGAAGAAGTGTTGTTTATAGTCAACTGTGGTTTGATTGTTCAAATGAGAAAGAAAGATGTCAATGAGTAGACAGTATCTTATCTCCTTCTTCTTCTCTACAGTGTGTGCCAAAAGTATGGTTACATAATTGTCGAGCGAGGTGGTATGCGCTAGAGAATTTTTCGAACAATAATGTTATATCTATTATTTTCAGCATGTCTTAATTAACTTATTTCCAAAATTTCAAGTCACTAGGTTGATTTTGACGGGTATCGTGGTTCATTCTATGCACCAACGCACCATCGTTGAGATAGCCGAGAGGGGGTGAGGGCACACGTAGCATTGGAAAACTCTTGGAATCTCACCAACAACGTTGTGGATAACCATAGAAAGGTTTGATTAGTTGAATACGGTCAAGAACTGTCTAAAAACGTACAGACTGAACCTTGGATTAACTGATTTCACAGAGCCAGGGCCGAAGGCCCTGCATCTGATTTCACTTCATTGCGTGGCACAACCGCGCCTAGCGGAGCCGGCCGTAGGCCGACGACGCTAGTCCTCACTTCCTACGAGTGGAAATCGAGGATACTCGAGGAGACGAGAAAGAAAAGTTCTTCTATGAAGAAGGAGTTGAAACAACTCCATAGATGGGATACAGGAAAAGAATATGACTGGAATCCGGAGCCTCACATCTATAGCGGGTAAATATGGAAGAAGGAGAAAACAGTGCAATATTTAGGTGGTGAGAACGAAGAATCCTAATTCAACGACGTGTTCAAGCAACTCGGCAAAGAAGGGAGAATGAGTACGAAACTGACAGAGCGGGAGGATTTCGAAATCTACAATAAGCTGGCTGTTTCAAGATCCAAATGGAATCAACTGCGCTCTTTCTTTCATTCCAGAAATGCCATCAATCCTTTCCCTCCAACACGAAGAGTAATCCAAGAAGAAAAGGTCTATGTAGAGAATATCGCTGATGGGAAGCAAGAAGTGGTGGTAGTGATACAGATATAGGAACGACATCTCGACCTACGTCAGAGGATCAACGCTGCAGCTAAGAATGGATGCAGGACATTCTAGCGACAGCGTTTCAGGTACAAAAAGCATCTACAAAGACTCATCGTGGATGTTTGATCGGATTCGAATCTCAAATGCCATTCCGCCCTCGCTGCTTATCATAATGGGAATAGCAACTGGTTATGGAGATGGTTAATATGGAGATGGTTAGCCATGGAGATGGTTAACAAGTCATCGATGCAAATCAATGGCAACGACCTTCCAGTTAGTTCTTCTCCAATGTGCATGTTGTCATGAAACTCTCCACGCAGTCTGCGCCGGGACTTGGACGCTTGAAGACTGGATACTTTTAGAAAGCGTGAATCCTGACTTTGATTGTCTCCCCTGTTGTGGCAGAAAGGGGAAGGCAATTGAAGAAGAAAGTTAACCAAATAATGAAAGAAAGTTTGGAAGAGTTGCGAGAGGAGTATGAGTACGATTTAGATATTTAAGGAGGAGCTGGTTATGAACTTGCAGGAAATCCGCAGAAGACTCCGCGAAACTCATCACAGCGACCGGAGGCGTCTCTGGACACATGGGCACTGGATATTTTTTCAAATTTTATACATAATGTATTTTTATGAATTCCAATTACTTTTTTATGATTTTATTGCTTTTTGTTGATCACTCATAATACACAGTTATCTTTCATAGTTGCACCATTTAAATCACTGTTTTTTGACATATTTAGAGTCGCCAATTTATGTTTTTTTCCCTGTTCTTTTAGATTGATTAATGCGTCAGAAGTGTCAATACCTTTTGTTAAAAAAAATAAGATCTTGGATGTATGTTTCGCAATGGAAGACACAATGATTATAAAGTTTATTTAGAAGCTGTCAGACATTTCAATAGAATAATAAGGTAGTATAATTAAAATGGAGTTAGAGTGGATATGTGATGCTCGATTGTATTTTTTATGCTCATGGACGGATGAGATTAGCTGGAACTTTTTCAGCAATTACACACCAATTTCCATGTTCGAAACTTGTCGAGACAACTTTCAAACTCTCAACCGAATCAACGAGATCCGCCAGTTCTCCCTCTTTAAAAACATGGTAAAATCGATAGAAAGTGACCTGAAACTCCGAGATTATTAAGATTTCTCGTACGAATAAAACAGACCTCTCTTAGAGTTGCCATCGCTTCAGTAACACTTTCTCTCATGATAACTTGTGAAAGTTCTTCTGCGAATTGTTCTTCAACGGGAACCAAGAGAGATGCCAAACGTCTCCCAAGCATTGGACTCCATCGTTTGATTCCAGAAATCAATGAATTTGTAGTGGGAAGAAATTGTGGAGCAGCAGATGGAAGTTTCTGAATTGGAGAGGACACTGATCCTGTTGGTGTGCTCTGGTCACTGTAGCTAGGAGAACTTGGGCAACGTCTCGAAAAATATGGCAATTGATCTGCGAGAGAAGTGACCTGAATAAAATGAAAAAATAGGTTGAATTTTCTGGTTAATATCGAACTTCAGCAATCTATTCTGTTTCCAATTTTCAACTTTGAGGCCTTATATCTCATTGCCTGTGAAAGTCATTTCAAAGTGGTCAACTGAAAAAAAAATCGTTTTCATAATATCAAAAATATTTTGTTAGTTGACCACTTTTTGATATCTGTCACAGGAACCGAAATAGATTGACTCAAACTTAACGGCATGTGGGCGTTCTATTATAGTGTTTAAATTATCTTTAGTCTACGTCAATTACCTTATTCAAAACTCCAGAAAACCATCTTTGAGCAACAGAACCGTCCGAAATATTGATTGGAATCGATGCTGCTATAACTCTTTGTTCCTTCGTAGTATTCACATGAAACTTCACTTTTGGAAGTCGACCTGAATAAAACGATTTGATGATTAAAGTTACAAATGATCTAATCTTTTACCTCCAATAGCAGTTTCATGCATGTTCCAAGGAACGAGGATATCCTGAGCAGCAAATTTTCCATTAGGTTGCTCAAATGCCCATGCATAAATCAGCATTTGACCTCCATCACGAAGGCAACGGGAACATTCTGAAAGGCTTTTTTTGTCAAAAGACTCAAAGGAACTTTCTCGCCTTGAAGAACTTGTCTTCTTCTTGCAGTTGTTGCCAAATGATGAATCACAGAAACATTCAAAATAGCGTCGACACTGTTGTCACTGTAATAATTGGGCCAGGTTCAGAAACTATTATCTTCTTGAGCCTCACCGTATTGGAATGCTCACGGCGTCAGCCAAACATAGGTCAATATTCTCCTTTTTACTCGAGCTCAACACCTCAGAACATGTATCGAAACCGATGACATGGCTCTTTTGAGATGTATATTTTGCTTCACCACATCCCACATCTAGAATAACACTACCTATAGTCTGCTGGTCAACGAACTGACGAACACGAGGCCAGATACGAGGTGACGATGGTTTGTGCTCCTGAAATTGAGTTTTATTTGGATTTATTAAAAAATCAGAAACTTTTTGTTGATAGGTTGCCAGTCGAGAATAGATCGAGTGTACATACTCTTGCTCTACGTTTCCTGAACTTATACTCATCCTGATTTTTGCATTTGTGGCTGGAAAGTGAGAAAGTTAAACTGAGGTAAAAAAAGTCAATTTGAGAAGTTGAGCAGAAAAAATAAAAAAGAACAACGGGGTTAGTTTGGAAAATTCTCAATAGTTTCCGATCCTTCCGATTTTTTGAGGATTCTAAGCATTTATGGGTTTCTCTGGATTTGTTTCAAAGACTATCTAGATTTTTTATTTTCTATATTTACACCAAGATCAGATTTTGTAAAAAAGTAATTTGTTTCAATACATGACTTATCTTCCAAAAACTTCACCGGTTTTTCAACTATGTTATTTCCACTATTAGAAGCCCACTCAAAACGTCAACTTTGAGCTTGTATATCTCTGTTCCTGTAAAAGATATCATATAAAAATTGTCAACTGATAAAATATTGGTGATGTTGTGATAAATAATTTATCAGTTGACAAGTTTTTGATATCTTTCACAGAAATCGTGATAATTTAGCTCAAAGTTGACAGTTTCGGTGAGCTCCTGTTACAGGATAGGGTACGTTCATATTCAGAATTCCGCAGATTAGGTGATTTCAAAATTGATATATATATATATATATATATATATCAATGTTTTTTTGAAATCGAAAGACCCAAATAATACTTCCACCCATTTATAAAAAGATCAATGCTGCTGTGAGTTCTACCGTATCCCTAGAACATTTCAAATACGTCTTTTTTGGATTACGTTATTTCAAGGGCCTCTCATTGTCATCATTTTACGGAAAGAAAGATTGGAGGAAACGTGATTCAAAACTTCCAAAAGTATTTTTCTCGATTATAAAATGTCCTCACATTTTTGGGAAATCGTAAGTTCAAATTAGTTTTGTATCCTTTCTATTGGCTGATGATTCAGGTCAATTGGAACCATGTGGTCCTTTCCATTTGGTCTCTGATGAGTTTCGCTTGTGTCGCGACTACGTGGATAACATGCAAAAGTTCGAAAAAAACTCCGATGACTACGGCTGAACCACCTCCACCACCTCCACCCGCTCCAGAGCCGCTTCAGAAGAAAGTGGAGATGACTCCAGGGTTACTAAATAATCCAAAGAGCAAGGCGGAAAAAGTTGAAGCTCCAAAAGCATCAGATGGCCAAGAAGTGAAGAAGGGTGAAGAAGGAAAAGAGAAGAAAGAGAAGGAACAAGAGAAGAAATCAGAGAAGACGGATGATAAGAAATCCAAAAAAGAAGGGGAGAAATCCAAAAAGACTACTACTGAAGAGGGAAAAGAAAAAGGAGGAAAGAATGAAAAGAAGAAGAAGGAAGAACCAAAGAAAGTGGATCCAAAGGGGAAGGATGCATTCAAAAAACCAGAGGATGAGAATGCTGTTGTTCCTAAAAAAGATCCAAATTATCAGGTATTTTTCTTTTTCAAAAGAATAACGTTTCAAAGATCATATTTTCAGACATTGTGTGGTCTGAATAACGATCTATTCGGACCAGATAAAAATCCGAAGAAACAGTTTAAAGCTCCAACAAAGGTTGAGAAGGCTGATGTTAAAGATCCCCAATACGAAACACTGAACGGACTCGGAGAAGATCTTTTCAAGGACGAAAAGAAGGATGATGATGGAAAGAAGAAGGAATTCAAACCTCCAGAGAAAGTGGCGAAAGCAGACGCAAAGGACCCTCAATATGAAACGTTGAATGAGGTGGACAAGGGAATTTTTAATAATAATAATGAGGAGAAGAAGTCGAAAAAGGAAGAAGTAGAGAAGAAAAAGGACGGGGAAAAGAAGGAGGAGAAAGAAGAGAAAAAGGAAGAGAAGGATGAAGAGAAGAAAGAGGATAAAAAGGAGGAAAAGGTGAAGAGTGAGGAGAAGAAGAACTGAAATTATCTTGAACTCTGAAACCACTGAGAATAAATTATTTGTGTTACTCCGTTTGTGTTTTTTGGCATCTGTTTCTTTGTGTAGTCATTGTTGACTATCAAAAACTTTAATAGGTTAAAAAGCAGAGCTATGAACTGGTCAAATATCTGACCCATATCTGAATACATAGTATGATATTTCACTGCATATATACTCTTATATCAAATCAAACGGATATTATACCCGGGTAAGCCTTTCACATGATAAAACTGATAAATGACGGAGGTGCATTGATATAAGCATGTCACTTGGTTGCTGGCTGTGATTTCCTATTCTCTCTCGGACATCTCATGCTCTTTTCCCTTCTGTTTTCCTTCCGTTTCTGGCGAGGCGATGACAGAGCCAACCAACCACGAAAACTCGGACGGGGCTCACAAGGATGTGGTGTGAGAAAGCAGGAGGACATATACACACCGAGAAAGAGCACACGGCGGAGCTCCGAGAGACTCTGTGTTGAGAGCACACACCGTCATTGATTTCGAGATGAGAGACGATGTCGTTGTGTCGTTTTGGCACATGTACAAGACGGCAAAATGCATGAGAAAAAGAAGAAGTTGAGAATGGATAAAGAGACGACGACACCAAGTTATACGGATCTTGGTTTGAAAAAGTGGGTCTATCAAATTAAGCTTATCAAAAAAAATGCCCTCAGATAGGTCTCGTGAAGGGCATTTTCTGAGACTTTCGTACTATTTCTTTAAACTTCGGGATAAATTACAAATTGTAAATTAAAAACAAAACTCTTGTTCTTATAATCTTGTCTGTAACATAGAATGCCGTAAAATCTTTAATAGAAGGGTCCACAGATTGTCAAGTTTGACAGAATTCATCTCGGCTCCTACGCAAGATATCAAAAATGTGTCAACTGATAAAATGTTCGTGATATTATGCTAAACAATTCATTAGTTGACAATTTTTGTTTATCTTCGACAAGAACCGAGACAAATTAGCTCGAAGTTCAACGTTGGGAACCCTTCTATTAAAAGTTTTACTGTACGTTTGATTGGTCTAATTTGTGGGGTATCTAAAACTTGTAGTGAGAAATAAACTTGTTGTTTCTTGCCCCTCTTCAATAGAATATATGAATAAGTGAGCAAGTAAGGAAAAATGAAAATTGAAAATTCTTCAATTTTCATTTTTCATCTTCTTTCAAAAATTATATTGTACAATATGAAAGGAGGAAGATGAAGAAAAGGGAATAGGATGGGTGGGGAAGAAAATGAAAATATGTTTGCTCGTTGAGCTCTTTTTCGTATAATGTCAGAGCTAAAGAATGAAGAGATAATGAGTTTGTGGCGTGTTAGAAGTAAAGAAAGCAATTGAGAATGGAAAAAGAAAGAAAACGAAGGATTTTGCCAAGTTCTGGAAAGAAATAGAGGACACAAACCAGAAATTACTCAGAATAACGTCTACGGCTGGTACTTCATCAGTTTCAGGACTTTCCGTTCTCAATAAAAATTGCATACTTAAACTTTTAATATTATCTGGATTAGAAAACGGGGAATTAGTATTAAGTTTCGAAATCCTTATTTACTTTTATTTTTGTGTGTGCTAGAGTGTCGTCTCGTATTTGTGACATGTTCTCGCGAGGAAGAAAGAAAACTTGGGATATCTCGGAAAACTCACTAGGGAAGGTTGTAATCGGGGGTAGAACTTTGGTATGAAACTTATATCATTCGAAAGCTGAGAATGAGACATTTTTAAATCTGTATTCAAATTTTGCTGAAGAGCTACCAGTTTCGAGAAAATCAAGTTTCAAATTTGGCTCTTAAGGGCGCCGCGCCTCCCCTCTTTCTTATATAGGCGAGGAGGGATGTACAGTAGGCGACTAGATGCAGGTTCGATTCCTCTCTCGCCATAATTTTTTGCGTTTTTTTTCTGGATTTTTGAAGGATGAAAGAAGGATTTTAAAAAAGGATAGACTTAAATTTTTGAATCTTTTTTGAAATTCTGAAGGCATTTTCTAATTTTGAAGACGCGGTTTAATTCTGAAGGCGCAAATTTTTGCTTTTTTTGGCTGACAAGCACCAGTTTTTGATTATATGTATTTCTTGACATGGTTTTGAACGTAGCAAACGTTCTTTTTTGCTCCTGAAATACTATTCTATTTAAATTCCTGATGATCCTTTGGTGTCGAGACAAGAGAAAAAATTAGCCAGAGTGCTATGCAATATCATGGACCAGTCAAAAGAAGGCGATGTAATGATCGAGGAAACAGAAGAAGTCATTGATGAAGAATCTGGAGATTGGGAACCCGAGGAGTTTCAGGTAATATTTTTTTATACTGCCACGAGCCTGGATGTCCTGAACTATCCTTTATTTGATGCTCTCGTTGCAAAGAATACATTTGTTTTAACCATTTTATTGTAGTAGATAAGCATTTGTGTCCGCATAAATAAACTTTATAAAGAGGAAAAAAATGACTTTTTAAAATTTTTGAACTTCGAACATTTTAATAACTTGGAAAATTTTTCGAAAAAAAATGTTTTCCAAAACTGTGGCCATCAATCCAATGCTATCAGAAACTTGGCTTCCATTAAAAAAATTTGCTTGAAATTGCTTCAGAACTCATTTACAATTGTCCGAAAATCCAGAAAAAAACGCAAAAAAAGTATGGCGAGAGAGGAATCGAACCTGCATCTAGTCGCCTACTGTACATCCCTCCTCGCCTATATAAGAAAGAGGGGAGGCGCGGCGCCCTTAAGAGCCAAATTTGAAACTTGATTTTTTCGAAAATGGTAGCTCTTCAGCAAAATCTGAATACAGATTTGAAAATGTCTCATTCTCAGCTTTCGAATGATATAAGTTTCATACCAAAGTTCCACCCCCGATTACAACCTTCCCTAGGTTCTGCATTTTCTCGTTACATCTTTTTACAGCATGTGTTCGCTCCTGGCGGGTCTTCGTCTCTGGCGCTTTAAACTTTTTCGATTGTTTTTTCTACAGTAATCCTTTTCATTTTCCAATTTTGCCCTACAGTAGCCCTTTTCATTTCTGACTATTTTTCTCTGCCGTAACCATTTTCATTTTCGATCGTTTTTCCCTACCGTAGTTCTCCTAGTTTTTTAATTATTTTTCCATACCGTAATCTTTTTCATTTTCAAATATTTTCCCCTATAGTATTCTTTTTCATTTTCGATTATTTTCCCCTACGTGTAGGCTTACAGTGATGCTTTCCATTTTGGAATATTTTCCCTACAGTGCCTTTATCATTTCTTGATTTTTTTTCGATTTGTTTCCAAGAAATAATACATTGAGGTTATACAATAAAAATTTGTTCATTAATTCTAAACATCAATCATAAAATACAGTTCACTTCTTTTTCTTCTTTTCATCAATGTCATCTGGCTGTGTGACATCTGTCGTTTCGTTTGGTGATCCACCAATCAATTCACAAAATTCTACTCTTGGTGTCTCACTAACTGCCTTCTTCTTTTTCTCTGAAAACTGTTTTAGAACACATTTATCTTTAAGTTCATTCTAACTTAAAGCTTCTTCAAATTTCTCAACACTATTCAAAAGTGTCGAAACGGATTCTTCCATAATTGAAAGGTTGCACCTTCCGTAGTTGATAACAGCTTTGATGAGAACTTTTTCGTGATACTGAAACAGTTATTTAGGAATTAATTAAAGAAAAAAATGCTTACAGTGAAAAGGGAAAATTTGAGAGTCGATGATAGGATTAAGTAGTTGTGGAACATTGAAGTCATCTTGTTTATATCCTCTTTACGATCTTTCACATTTTTCTAAAATTTAAAAATAATTTCGGAGAAAGATTGCATATTAAAAAGTACATTGTTGTATTGGAATACAGTAATACCATGTTCGTTGGGATGACTCATCTCGAAGAATTCTGGATGATGGGTCAATCTTTCAGAAAATGCGTTTCCAAGAATTACTTTTCTCTTCACTGCTTCTCGAATCGAACGAATTCCATATAGACGAATTAGAATCCACAAACGAATCGGATGTTCACCATAGTGGATTTTGTCTGAAAACATTTTAAGTTCCATGGAGTTGCCTCTTGAAACCAACTTCCATCTACGACTAATTTCTCACAACTCCATACAACTGAAATGCGGCCAGAATATGGGAATAGTGAAGAACAAACAATGTGAACGGAATGAACTTCTGTTATCAAAGAACTGAAAATTTCAACGAGGACATCTTTGAAAACATATCATTTGGTGGCCTACTGTACGTTGCTCCGGCTATTCGTATCGAGCCACTGACATCCTGCATACGTGGCATCCAAATGTAGCCAAATGTTCTTCCTATGAGAAAAGTTTACAGTTAAAAAATTCTAGTTTTTTTTCAAAGTTACAATTTTTTATGACGGGAAAAGTGAACAACAGAAAAGTTGAGAATTTACAAAAAATAAAAAATTCAACTAACTTTCTAGAAATCTTTACCAACTCCCAAATTTCATCATTCGCAGCCACATAAGCAGATCCATAGTTTGCTATGATTACCAACGGAATCAGTCCTCTCTCTTTATCCTTCACCATTTGCTTTAACAGGTTTGCAGCTGTCATCGCAGAAGACTCTTTATCATAAGTGATGACCTTACGCAGTCTGACTTTTGTGTTAATACATGCTTCTTCCAACGGAATTTGAGAATCATCACTGCAATAGACCACATAGTCCGAAAACTTGGGTTTCTCTTTTTCCGATTTCGGAGAGTTTTCATTGGTCATCTCGGCTTTTTCGATAGCATGACGGATTACAGCAATGTAGATATCCCGAGGGGTGTAAAACAATGTGCCAATAGGATCGCGAGGCTCATTAAGGTGTGACTTTATTTGAGGAATTCCCATTGCTGAAGACAACCATTTGCATATGATACGTTCAATCGAATCAATGATAGGAGATGAGTTCTAAAAATAAGAATACATTTTAAAAGTTAAATAATTATATAGCATTTCTAATACCACATCATGTCCGAGGGCTGCCGAAATGGTGCTTCCAACTATATCTGCAAGGGATTTTCCAGCAAATTTGGCATGATATCGAGGATGATGGGTATGGCAAATCTGGAGTTAGGCACTATAAATAATGACGCAGATCTACAGTATCAATCAGTACTGTAATTTTAAACATACGTTTGGAACTACAATTTCTTTGAGGTCCTTCAGAATTTCACCGAATTCTTCCGGCTTTTCAGGTCCCTTTACATGTATCCGTGTGGAGTTCACATCGTGTTCTGAAATATGGAAAAATACCGTATTTACAAATCAGCGAATTCATCTTGATACCTGGAATGACGGGTTGCTTGTGTGATTCGTCAAAGTACTCATTGATGAACTGTACGACCACATTCATACACTTCACGAATTCATCTCGTCCAACTGGTTCTTGTAGTCGTTGACGATCACTTCTCTGCTGGACTTCTTTTACAGGAGGTTTGTGTTCTGGTTTCAAAATTTGTTCAGCGGACCGTTTCTCATTGATAGCTGATTTTAGTGCAGGTTCTTTCGGTTCTTTTTCTTTCTCAGGACTTCTTTGAGGATTCGCGGGCCTTTGGAAACTCTCAACATCTGGATTCTCAACTTTCTTGTATTCGGAAATGTTTCTACTGAAATTTTAGGTTTTTCTTTTCAAATCGATTCATAATCAGATTGAATTTATACTTTTTGTGTTTAATAAACAGGTAGACGATGAATCCGATGTTGAAGCACAAAGAAATAGCGAGACAAGCAATGAGGGCTGGTACTTCTGCTCCCATTCTTTTCGCCAATCTGAGTCCAGTTTTAGTGTAATATAGATAGGGAAAAATTAAAAATGTCAAGGACACTGACTCACTTTCAAAGATTTACTTATTGAAAGGCAATTTCAATCACAGAGAAACGCGTGCGAAAATAAGGAAAATAAATAACAAACTGGCAATCAAGGTACTCAATTAGAAAAATTGAGATCACGTAAAAACGGAATTCTCACGGGTAAATCGGTCAAAAGTACATAATGAAAAAGCATGAGAATAACTTTTAGATAGCTTTCAGGATGGATTTAGCAATGTCTCGAACATAGTCCTCGCTGGTAGTTTCTTTCTTTGACACTGCCGGGGTAGTGCTTTTTCGAGATGAAACGTTCTCCTTGTCTTCCTCAACATTTTCTTCAGACAGATCAACGATCGGGTTTTTGGCGAGATAGTTCTGAAAACTCCAATACAACTTGGCAAAGAAATTTTAAATAGCTTGAATGTTTGAGATTGATCTTTATTCTATATAGAAATTATACTTTTTACAAACTCACTTGAATGAATTCCTTTTTGGAAATCAAATTTTTCTCGTGCACAAACAGGTAAACATCGGCTGCGTTCTTTGTTTCGGTTGGCTCTGTAGCGTGAAGCATATATCCCTTTTCTGAAAAAAAATTATCTATGTGAACGATGTGTGTAATATATATACCAAGAACTCCGAACCGCTCGTTCAATGTCACTCGTTTCGCTGGACTTTTGTATTTGTTCTCCAGAATAGATACGACTTTGTTGTTCTTCTCACCTTCCACCAGAGAGAGGATTTCATATTGGACATTGGAAGCCATGATACAAAATTCTACAAAAATCCTTTATTTAATGTTCAAATGCATTTTTTCGAAAGAATGGACCGATAAATTTTAAAAAAGCGAAAACGATCGGCTAGTTCTGTCTTACGATTCATTTTGGCGCCTTTTTTGAAACGAAAAGTACAGCGAAGCGCGCTTGCAAGACCAGCATAAAAACGCAAATAATGATTCATTTTCGGATTATCGACCGCAATTGTACGATTTTCTCCTATTCCCAATGTTTCATCGTTTCGTTCTTACTTTAAATTGTCTCAGAAAAATGCCGAGACTTGTTTTCGCAACTTCTTTCATTTTCTCTTTACAGGTTAATGAGCGCTACACTTCAACCTTATCTGGAAGCAGTGCGTCACACACTCGAGGCGGCTCTTTGCCTTGAGCAATTCAGTTCACAAGTCGTTGAAAGGCATAATAAGCCAGAGGTGAGCTCTTATAGTTAGTTCAAATGTAATGTGTAAATTTAAAAAAAGCAAGCCAATTATGTTGTGATGCTCACAAGAAATCGTTTTTTCACTTGTTTCCAGCAAGTCAGATTTATGCTAGTTATTCTAAATGTTTTTTTTTCTGAAATACATCAGAATTATCATCTATATAATCTGATCCATATAAATTCCAGGTTGAAGTGCAAACTTCGAAGGAATTGCTGATGACGCCGGTAGTTGTGGCTCGCAATAAACAAGAACGCGTGTTGATCGAGCCATCTGTGAATTCAGTCAGAATATCGATTGCTATCAAGCAATCTGACGAGATCGAGAAGATTCTATGTCATAAGTTCACAAGGTTCATGTGCCAAAGAGCTGATAACTTCTTCGTGCTTCGTCGTAAGCCATTACCAGGTACTAAAAGTTTAATTAATCAAATTGACACAGTGATGATGTTTCAGGGTACGATATTTCATTTCTGATCACTGCTTCTCACACCGAAGCGATGTTCAAACATAAGCTCGTTGACTTCCTGCTCCATTTCATGCAAGAGATCGATAAGGTAAAGATAATCCGTCGATTATTACTGAAACCAAGAACTCTGAATCAGCCAATTTTTTTCTGCGGAAACGGGTGCTAACAAGTTTTCAGAAATCTTTTAATTCCATCTATCTCTTTTTCAGGAAATCTCCGAAATGAAGTTGTCACTCAACGCTCGCGCCCGTGTGTCAGCTGAAGAGTTCTTGAAACGATTCAACTAAAATCATCTTGTGTTTCTCAAATTCCCACTTCTCCTTTCTCATTTTCATCTGAATTCCGACTTTATTTTGAAAACGGACCGTTTTGATCAACTTGTGTAAATATCTATAATTTTTCCAAGTTTCTTTACTTTTCTGAAAATGACTCCCCACTTCAACATTTCCTGTTTTAGGCACTTGTTCTGCTTTACCGACTAATTATACCGCACACTTTTGCTATATAAATTAATTATTTATTCTATTCTTTTGGACATGGTTGTTTTTTGAAACTCGTAAAATTTCATTCGAGTTATATTACTTTAAGGCTTGGATGATTACTTGTTACGTATGCCATTGATTGAACCGAAAGTTAAAAGTGGTGTGTGCTAATTTTTCACTCATAATACGAATGTAAATTGGGAAATTAACAATCACCAACTTCAATTGTATCATTTTTGTAATAGTATTTTGTTTTAGAACCGATGGTATTGAAACTTTACATACTCTTGTGCTCTCTTGCATTGCTTAGTTTAGCAACGGAGGAAGTGAGCACAACTGAGCAAACATCTACGTTGTTCTCTGTCGAAGGCGAGGTCAGTTCTACAAACTTTTTAAATTTCGGCTTAATACTTCAAGAATATAGTCTGATCCAAGAACTTTTTGAATGGTTTCATAGTTTATCTCAAAACATTTTTTTAGTGTTCATATTAAACTATTCAGCTTGCTCTTCCTGCATCACGAAACTGCGCAAAATGGTCAGCGGGAGCAAGAGTTCATTTGAATCACGGCCAGCATATCGGATTTGTTCGCCAGGATTGCACATTCCGAGTTGATTTCGTACCAAGTGGAACATACATCGTTCAAATCGAGAATACAGATTTCGTATTTGAACCAATTCGTGTGGATATCACTTCTAAAGGAAAGATGCGAGCTAGAAAATTAACTATTCTTCAGGTATGATCATTCAGTATTGTAGGGGAAAAAAAATACTTTTTGGGTTACAGCCTAACAATGTGAACACTCTTCCGTATCCTCTCCGATTGTCTGCTCGAGGTCCTGCTCGTTATTTCCGAAAACGTGAAGAATGGAGAATCACTGACATGCTTTTCAGCCCAATGGTTCTGATGCTTGTTATACCACTCGTTGTTATGCTTATCCTACCAAAGTAAGTCTGAAAGGTTTTATTACTCAATGCCTGCCAATTTTTTTTCAGAATGACAGCCAATGATCCAGAGCTAAAGCGTGAAATGGAAAACATGCAGATGCCAAAGGTTGACATGCCTGATGTTGGTGAAATGATGGCTAACTTCTTTGGAGGACCAGCTCCCGCTAAAAAGAAAGCAGTAACCAGTGGAAGTGGACAGCGAAGAAAATAAATATCAATAAATATCTCGGACCATTCAAAATAATTCCTCAGAATTCTCGAATTCCATCGTTTGATTCCTCTCTTTCTTTATTACAAATTTCTATCTAGATTGCTTCGAAATATTCAACCAAATTTGATTCGGGTTGTCTTTTCTAGTTTTAGCCATTAAATGATCTATTCCTCTTGTATTGTTTAATAACTTAAACAAATTATAATGTGCTGAAAACCATAAACCCTGTAATAAAATCGCTGATTTATTAGGACTCTCCCTCCAATAAAAAACTCCCAGAAGTCGTTGAAAAATAAAATTGCTTCTTGAATTTGTCTACGTTAGAAATTCTAAACTTCACATCAAAGAGCTTTATGAACGGTAGAATAATTTACAGATTTTTTGATGTAAAAATTAATATGAAGCTTAAATTGAAATTTCTCCGATCTTTGAAGCGAGCCATTATGACAGAAATGGGATGCTGGAACTCGTTACAGCATGACGCTAATAACTACAGACCCATAACGCTCACTCATGCACTTTCCAGACTCTTCGAAAGATTAGTCCTTGAAGAGCTAAAACGTGTTATCGGCCCGAGTATTTCTCCGAATCAGTACGGATTCGTCAGTAAGCGATCCTGTGTTCTAGCCGTCCTTGAGTCCACTTCCAGAATACAGAAAACCTTAGAAATAAGCAACAATTCGTAGATGTTATTTACTTTGATTTTCGCAAGGCATTCGACACTGTCCCACACAATCTCTTGCTGCTGAAAATGAGGCGAATAGGTATTGATGAACGATGCTGCGATTGGTTCGAGTCCTTTCTCAGCAACCGCTCATCCAACGTCAAGGTTAATGGCCTAATGTCAACCAGCAAGATTGTTGTCAAATCCGGAGTCCCCCAAGGAAGTGTCACTGGCCCCTTTTTGTTTCTGATCTACATTAACGACCTACTCGGCCTCTTTCCTCCCAATGTTCATGTCACGGCATTCGCCGACGACCTAAAAATAACTGGTTCCGACCCATTGGATAAGCAGAGAAGTATCGAAATCGTCGAGCACTGGTGTGACATCTGGAGACTCAAACTAGCCGAGAATAAGACGGCCGTTATGCATTATGGGAAACGCAATCCTAAGACAGTTTACCTTATTAAGGGATCCCCCATTACTCCGCATCGCTCATTCAAGGATCTAGGTATACTAGTTGATGATCAACTTCAATTCGACAAACACATCAATCTTATTGCCTACTCTGCTAAACTCAAGTCCCGCCAAATACTGAAAACGTTCCAATCGAAAAACCCTTGTCTATATTTCCGTCTCTTCGACACCTACATTAGACCGGTCCTCGAATACGGTTGTGAACTTTTCGATCCATCCAATTCCACACTTGCCAATAAACTAGAGTCTCCTCTTCGTTTTTTCACCAGAAAAGTCTTTCAGAGATGTAATATGCCCTTCAATTCATACACCGATCGCCTATCCCAGTTCTCTATGCTAACCACCCTTCATCGCCGCACCCTTCTAGTTCTTCGTACCTGTCACAAAATTGTTATAAACTCATACCATTTTCCTTCTATGTCGTCCTACATTCTTCCCAGCCATTCTAACAGAGCCCCGTATTTGTTCAAAATCAACGGTCAATACTTTGACTGCTTCCTTCACAGAAACTTGTCTATGTGGAACCGTGTATGTAAGGTGATAAATTCTAAGCTCAGTCCGGTGGCGTTTGCTAAGCGAGTAGGAGCGATTCCTTATGATATTCTGATCCCTCCCACTTGACCTACAGGACTCTAGTCGGTTCGTCTGGTCATTTTACTTTTTTATTTGTACAGGTCCCATTTCTTGCCAAATTATCTATCGATTTCCCCCATGTATTGCAAATAAATATATTATTATGGTATAAAAATGGATCACCCAATTTATGTGTTCTTCTCATGCGGCACCATGAAAAAAATAAAGACCAATAATTATTATTGGTTCAAACTCTACTTCCTGCTTCAATTCAAGCGACTTCCTTCTCACAATTTCAGACACATTCCATCGAATCTTTTGAACTTTCATCCGATATTCTCAAAATGTTCGTGGTAATAATCGAATCTATATTCTCCGGACTGGTTCTTATGACCTTAATTTATGATATTTCTCTTGTAACTACTGTTTTGATAGAAAAATCTAAACGAAAGTCTGAAAAAAAGTCTAAAAAAGTTCCAGTCGTCTATATTTGTTTCATGACATTTTGGGGGATTGTCAGCAAAATTTCCATTCTTTTTTTGTTTATCGGATATATTGTTTTGTGTGGTATTGGCTTGGTTCACAGATATGATGGTTAGTTATGAACAAAAACTTGAATTCAAATAATATTTAACGCTAGTGGTAAAGGGGCACTGCAGAAAACTGCTAAATGACAGCCAAAGGAGGACCGACGGGTCGTTGACGGACTGTCGACGGACTATTGAAACCTCTTGGAAAACTGACTTGAAAGTTCCGATTGAAAGTTAGCCAGAAAAAATTCTCACTCCCACTAGCTTACAGAATAATTATAGAAGCTAATTTTGCTCACACCGCAAAAACAGTGGTTGAACTACTGCTAAATTTTTAATTAGTTAAATGAAAGCCGAAAAATCGATGACTGGTCGATGACGGCTGGTTGGCGGGCCAAATTTCGGCAGAGTGGAAAGTTCGGTGAAATATTATTTTTCAAACTTATTACAGTGCAAAAGTCATAAAGAATACTTGGAATCTAAAAAATCTATTATTAGAAGCATTTCTACAAAAATTAGAATCTGAGAGCCGTTTCATGAAAAAACGGCTAAATGACAGTTGAAGAGACGATAACTGGTCGATGGCGGCTGGATAAAAATGTAAACACTGGTGGATGAAAAACCTCATTTTCTATTTTGATAAATCATATCATTTCTGTTTAATGCAATGTTTCGACTGTTCTCCTTTCGGTAGTCAGCGCCCCTGCTGATGGTTCGTTTTTTCGGCAGTCCCCCTCTACCTGTGTATATAGGTTACGGTATATAGGTTACGGTTTCTAATGTCAGAGAGTCACTTATACAGAATTCCGTGCATTTCTTGGCCCTGAATTAACTCTCACAGCTTCATTTGGATATCTAACGCCTATCGATATCAACTGCTTAATGACAATCCAACGCCTTGTAATCCTTCTGTTTCCAACCAAAAACAAACTTTTCTTCGAGAAGCGATTGATTATTTACTGTTCCATCATAATGGTGAGTAAAAGAAAATATTTATTCAGGTTCAGAAATTAAATTATAGTTAGTATCATTCATCATTTTGCTCATTCCATATCTTTCTGATTGTGCAGTCAGTTTCCATGCTTATCCTATAGATTTTGCATCCAGCTGTGGATTGGGACGTCATCCGGTTAGTTTAATCAGAATTGAAGCATAAATATAACAAGATAGATTTTGAATTTTTGTCAACTGGTATTCAATATTTTCAAATTATCGACCCAGAGTAAATAGACGAATTAAACTGTTCATGTTCATAAATTTCAAAGTTTCGCACCAAAAACCATATACCTCAATGTTACTAAAAATAAGTTTTTTTTTCCTTAAAGTTTTCAAAATTTTACAATTTGTCTAAAATATGTACCATATATCTCGACTATACCAGTAACTGTTGTATTGTGAAAAGATTAAAAAAAGTTAAGGTAACTGTAATATTTAGTAGGTCACCCCTATACTTGCACTTTGAGCTCAATTATCTTATTTTCTATTAGCAATTTGTTTGTGAAATCATAAAAAACATTTCATTAGTTGACAGATTTCTGGAGAGCTCAGATTTCAGTTATCTTTTATAGAACTTGAGATAATTGAGATCAAAGTGCAAGTATAGGGGTGGTCTTCTATTAGCCTGCTTACGGTACGCATATTTAGCCAAAGATGAAAAATGAAGTAAATTATAATTCAACCCGATTTGAGGTCACCCTTTTCCAAAACCGATTCACTGTTCTGTTACCTCTTCTTGCCATGCTCATCAACATTTCCCTTATTCTGTACATGAGGTTTTGCCGGAACAGGAAGAATACAACTGGAAAGTCATCAGCTCGTGGAAAATATATGATAAGGACTACTTTATTAATTTCAATATATCTTGCAATATACGAGCTGGGGAAGGTGTTCATCCAATATTTTCCATAACTATTTCTCAAACTTTCTGACGAAATCAGATTGTGTTTTCAACTTTTTCGAATTATTTCCTTCTGCGGATTGAATTTTTTCGTTTATTTCGTTAGAACCAAATCAACGAGGAAAATTGTTTTGGAATTTTATGGATACGGTGAGAAGAAGAAGACTTCTTCCCCGTTCATTGTACCTCGCTGATGTGCTTTTTTTTGGAAACTTTTTAGTATTTTTACTAATAAAACTTTGCTGTTGATATGATTTATTATTGCATCCCGATCAAAATTTTGAACAAGAAAATCATGAGAATCAGCATTATACACAAATGAAAACTGAAATTCGAGTTGAATGGGAAAAGAGAACATGAGCATAGGGAACAAAATCGGTAAAGAAAAGATCATAGAATTGGCAGTAAGAGACTTGGAATAAGAAAAAAAAAAGAAATGTATAAAAATTCTGTATCTTATGGAGAAGCTTATAAAACCCATATCATGAATTCCAAGGACATCATGTTTTACCAAGCACGCCTCTTTGATAAATCACAAACACGGTATTCATAATGTAACGCCAATCTGTTAGTCCCGCGATAACACTGCAAGCCGACGATGAGTCCTCATCTGCTCCCGAGTCTGCTCCTGGTGAAGATGTTGATGCAATCCCAAGGGCCCGTTTTTCAAATGGAATTTCTAGACGTTGGAACGACCGACGGCATCGATTGACACAATCACCAACAATTGGAGATATTGTAACGTCTGGCATAGTTTCAGGGAAGAGATCAAAGAGAAGAGCACAGAAAGCACGACAATCTGTCCAATCAGAACTGAAGTTCGAGACCGTCAATTGATCAGAATATTGTTCGAGTCTGCAATAAAGCAGTTATCGTGACAAGTGTCAAACTATCCACTTACGTCTTCTGAACCCATCCCAGAAGTACATTTCTTCGAAGAGTATGCTTATGTTGAGTCATCAAAGTGACCCAGTCATCATCATCAGAAACACTTCTTGAAATTGTTTCCAGTTTCCGTTCAGCTTCATCTTTTCGCAGAACTGCTTCTTTGAGAATCAATATGAAATCTTTGCGAGTTTTCCGGAAGTCTTCTTTTTGCTCCGAATTCTCTTTCTGAAAGAAAATAAAGCTTTTTATGTCATAAATATGTAATTAAACTACTTTCAATGCTGCTACTTCATCCTTCAAACTCTGAATACGACTGGAAACATTCACATCGCTCTCAAGACAAATAATGTCCGGATGCAAATTTTCTTTATCCATTTTTTCCATGTTATCAACTTTTTCAGCCACTTTCTCTGTCATCGTAGCTTCATCAGTCATACGAAGCGGTTCGCATTGTTGTGAAGAGCAAACCGTCTGGACCTGCCTCATTTTTTTGTTCTGTTCGGAGATTTGTAATTGTGCCTGTGATAATTGATTTCGAACTATTTCTAGTTCTTCCATGAGACGTTGCTCGTTTTTACTTGTGACTGGCTCCAACGATGTGGATGAAGGCGACGGAACAGTAAGCTCTTTAGGCTGCTTTGACGAAGACCTAGAATAAAATATATACGAAAATTGTCATTGAATAAGTCCTTACCTTCCAAAGACCTTACGAACTGTCTCCATTGGGGAGCTGGCTCGACTTCTAAAAACAGATGCAAGAGATGATGTCGAAGGACGTGACTTCTTTGTTTTCGCGTTTGTCTCCACGGCATTTTGTTCGATGAGCACTGTGGGAAGAGCACGACTTCTGGAATGATTCCATAAGAGTCAAGGCATAATTTATAAACTTAACACTAATAAAAACACAAACCTTCCAGCACAGTGCCATATGAACGGCATCTAAAAATATATGATTCTCTTAAATCCAAGAGAATATACAAAAATCTTCCTCTTACTATTTTTAACAGAGGAGAGAAATGGACGTGCCCAAAACTGAGAGACTGAGAAATATGAGCCAATATTTGTGTGGCTAACTCTTTTTTTTTTCGTAGTCAGATAGATTGCGAGAGGGTGTTCGCCTCGGAAAAGAAAAGTATTTGCTTAAAGGAGGGCGGAGGCAAGAAATGAGTCAATTGATTGCAATGGATCGGTTCTGGTAAATGAAAATAATTGCATTTTGAAATGTTTTGTTGGTATGTTATAAAACAATAGGAGGGAAGGAGCATCTGGAGATTGTGCTTGCAATTACTTTAATTACGAATAAATGTTCGATGAACTCACTCTTCTCTGTGTTGAACGGTTTCTTTCTTGCTCTGTGTTCGACGGATTTCCAATGCTTTCTGTTCTATTGGAGTACTTCCAGATCTGCTGCTCATTGCTGCTCCATCAATTTCTTCATAAACTCGTCTTCGTAGTGGCACGATATTGCTCCGAGTATAACAGTTACGAGGTGAAGCTGCAACAAACCCTAAAAACACTTGGATACGAACATGAATAGGAGAAAAATAAGCCGCACCATCATCTCCTTGGAGAGAAGTCGAAACCGTAGAAAGTTTTTTTCGATGAGTGATGTTCTGCTCGTTCATTGGTGGCACCACTTCTGATGTTTTGGTCAACCGATTCAACGGTCGAGTGAATATTGACATTCTGAAATTGGGAATAGTTGAAATTCGATGTTTTTCGTAAAATAGTATTATAATGGTACAAAAAAATCGGAGCTGTTAAAGAGAAAGGCCGGTGGGCGTTGCCGATGGTCCCACAACAACAACTACAGTAACCTAAAAATGTTTATTTTCTGGATTTATTTTTTCTTGATTAGAGAAAATAACAGGAAAAATAGACAAAAAGTTCTAAAATTCAAAAAATAAAAGTGTTTTTAGGTTACTGTAATTCTCGTTGTGGGATTTTCGGCCATTGCGACCGGCGTTGCAGTTCCACCGCTTCGATTTTTGTACCAGAATAATAGGAACTCGAATGTCTAAACACAAGAAAAATTAATTTGGAAGAAAAATGACCAGACATCAATGGAAACCTAAATTTCACCGGAACTCAAAAAGCAAACAATGCCTTCAGAAAAACGTGGGAAAAGTATCTTTCCCGTGAAAAATTACTGGGTGAATCCGAAACGAAAACATCAGGCAAGGAAATGGGTAAATATGCGCAAGGGTTTTTTGATGGGGAGAGGAGAAACCGCAAGAACGATTTGGTTTCGAAAAAATTGTCCACAAAGAAAGGGTTTTCAAAGTGAGAAAAAGGGAAAGTAGAAATTAGGTAGAAACACATCACACAAGTATTCAAAGCAAGGGAACACGAACACAGAAACAACAAGAAAGGATTCAGACTGAAAGTAAATCAAGATCTTTATTTTCATACGAATATGCATAAGAGCCTACAAAGTTAAAGATTAGAACATTGAACTAAATTGAATAAAACGTGCAGTTGCGGGAATACCTGATTGGGGGAAAGGTTCAAAGCACTATGAAATAAAATCCATTATCATCCAGTTTTATGCGGGAAACACCTTAATTCCTTTTAACGAAGACATAAATAATGGGTGTTTAATTGACTCGATTTGTTACAACTTTCCTATTATAGTGGTTCAAGACAAAAAAACTGAGTACACCCAAGAACATTAGAACGCCGCGTTCGTTGCTTCCTTGCAGACAGGACAATCAAAAACGACAGTTGGGAGTACTTCTTCGTGAGCGGAAGAGATGTATGTGATTCGTTCCTGGATTTTTCGCGATTCGGAGAAGTACTTCATTTTGCATCTAAAATACATTGATAAAATAATTTTCTTACATAAAAGAACACATACTTTTCACAAGTGATACTATCCCTATCTTCAGTTTCTCTCACACTTTGATATGCTTTTGCCTGTCCGCGAAATTTGCGATTATCCACTCTTTGTGCGGCATAGTTCATTCGGGTGGCCGTCGATATTTCGATACGTCTACCACGTGGCATAGGAAGAAATGGGTCAGGAGCGTAACCGATTTGACTGGAATATGAAACAGTGGAGGAATAAAGTTATATAGATCTACTTGTCATCTTTTTGTTCCTCCGCATTGATGTGGCAAGATGTTTGATAGGTCCATTTTCTTTTATGTGTGATCATCGTGCTGAAAGAATTGATTGACAGTGGAGTACTGTAAAGCTTACTAACGATGCGGCATGGAACTGTTTCGGAGGATGGTAGCTTCGATTGCCAGAAGTCGGGCATGTCTTTTTACTCTCTTCTGAATTACTTTCGTCGCTGGAAGACGTTCCAACTTCTACTGATTCAAATGAGGATGAAGAACAAGCCGTGGGCTCAGGAATTTCCGATTCGGAACCAGTGAAACCAATTTGACCACTGGCAACTTCATCGATCACCTCATTCAGAGTATTTGAACTGGAATTCTGATCCAACGAATCACTCTTTTGTTTCTGAGTTTTTTTCATCATTGTACGCATCATACGACTTCTCAGACCGTCAGATCGAAGGCTTACAATTTGTGCTTCTCCGAACATCATTCCTAAATTTGGAACAGTAACGGAGTCTGATTCACCTGAAAACAAGAACTTACTCATTTTTCTAGGAGGTTCTTCTACTTCTACACGCACTAAATCACTGATTGATCGTGCTTGAGGGATAGGAGGCAAGGGGTACTGTAGTTCCTGGTTATTTGATGACATTTTTGTGTTGAAACCTGAAAAATATTCGAGTCTGTGAAAAGGCACCGCGTTATTTTGTTTCGAGATTGAGTGAAATGTATTTTTTTTAATATAAGGGAAAATATTGAGAAAAAAAGTGACCGTTAAATAACAGCACTCTTTATTTCAGGTTACACTATTTCGTTGCTGATCGATTGTTACGACTACACTATTCATATCGTTATCACGCATCACACTCTCCGTTTCCTTCTTCGTATTCATCTCCGATACTTGCCCTGCGCAGCGGTTACGCATCACTGACTACAGAAAAAAGTCCCCATATGCATGTCTCATGATAAACACTTTATTTTTCATCAAAAACTTTAAAAAATGTAATAAACGTAATAGAAATCTGGAAAAGTCAGTCTTCAAGGAGAATGTACTAGAAAGCGCTTTGGCTCAATGATAATGGGCACAGACTTGAGGAAAAATGAAAGTGGTTAGCATGAAAATGAGAGTAAAGTACCGCTCCATGTGCAGAAACAAGAAAACGGAATTGAGCGAAAAATTTTGAAATTTTAATAGGAAAGGGGATGGGCTTATATAAAAAAGAAAAGAATAAAATTGTATCTAAAAATCTTAAGAAACAGGGGTAAAGATGAGGTTTGATTCCGGGTGGGAGAATGAAAAGGAAATGTACAGAAAAAAGAACAAAACACTTATCGAATATTTTTTGGAAGTTATGAAAGATAAGAATGAGGAGAAAGAAATTGATTAAAGACATATGATCGGACTTTGGGACACCTACTGAAAATATATGAAAGGGTTTGGATAATTGGATAATGGGCTTATAAAAAAGAAACATGTCTACTGAAAGCGTAGGCACTATATCGGGCAAATACTCATCTGCTTTGATATTATCTGCTATTCACTCGTCTGCTATTCTAGCTCATCTGCTATAGCTGAATCATCTGCTATATTTGTATTGTCTGCTATAAGAAAGATCATCTGATGATCTATAGGCTTAGGCTAAAACGTTATTTTTTTCTTGAAAACTTTATCCTAAGCCTATAATTGAAAAAAACCATATTCTGAAAACAAATCAGCGAAAAAAGTGAAAATGAGAAACCCCATAGCAGATGATCTATAGCATCCGAGCCAATATAGCAGATGAGCCAGTCATAGCAGATGAGCTAGAATAGCAGACGAGTAAATAGCAGATAATATCAAAGCAGATGAGTATTTGCCACTATATCGACGTCCTCGACACATTTTCAATAAAGTGCCTTCACTTTCAGACTCGTAAGATTATACATGATTTTCTCTAAAATAGCTCTAAATGCAAAAAAAGCCGGGAAGTAATGGGATTGAGCATTTTGTAAGATAACATAATATGGGATGGGAACGTTGAAACATCGGAAAATAAAAGGCGGTTTGGGGATGCAAGGTGAAAATAAAAGGATGTGGTTGCACAGGGTAGAAAATGAATTTGGGGACACAGAGGTTTTGTTATAGATAAAGTAAAAGAGTAGCATAACTGCAAAGCTGTGTTGAAGCTAGTCAAGATTCGCAGTTATACTAAACACAAAACATAATTTGAAAAATGAATGGAAGTGAGTAAGAGGTGTAGAGCGCCTAATTTTTTTTGAGATTTTTCAAACATTTTGTAGGCGAATTGGAAAATGAATCTTTAAGAATAGATACAAAACGGTGTAGACCTATGAGGGGGACAGTTAGAAAAAAAAAACAAGAAAATGAAGGGGGAAAAGGCCAGGCATGGCAAAAAAAGATCAAGGGAAAATCTAACGGTATTTACAATTCAACGAATAAAATGGTATAGTTTGGATAAAATTTCAAAAAGCTCTGGATAAACTTGCAAAAAAAGAAAAACAAAACTCTGATGAAATATTGAGGGTAGCAAATGAGTGCTCAGAACGAGATTCAGCAGATATGGGGATGGGAAAGAAACTTAGGAACATAAAATTAAAGAAACACACCGGGGTAAAACAAGAATGAAGGCGGATAAACAAACGGATTGACTGGAAGACGGCTAGAGAATGACGAAAAAAGAAATATACAAAGAAAACCGAGGTAACCTTCTTATTGGAACTTGTTAATGATCGATGCGGCATTCGGCACAGGAGTCGGAACGGGTATTCCATTTGGCAAAATTAAAGGCTTGAAAACGAATAGAGTGTGATTGTGCTTGCACAGCGTCACTATGTGGCCACTCTTAGCGATTCGAAGACCAACGCAACGGGAAAGCTGAAATCAGGTTACAAATTCAAAAAGTAAATTGAAATGGAAACTCACTCTGAATTCATTGTGGGTGAATGAATGAATATGTTGTCCTTCCGGAGAAAATACAACAACATGAAGATGATTTCCATGAGTATCCGCAACGAGAACCTCTCCTGCCTTGGAAACATCTATGCCAATGGGATATGGTGTCTGGGACGGTTCTCCCATCTTCCGGATGAATTTTCCTGAAATTTTTGTTTTAACCGCATAATCAGGAATAACTGAAATCAAACCTTCCGAAGTGTAAACTTGCACGCAATGATGTTTGAAGTCGGTAATATAAATCAAGTTATCAAACATGGCAACATCGGAAGCTTCTCCAAGTTGAGAGGAAGCATCGAACCAGAAAGTCACTCGTGGTGCATCTACATCGATGGAATACACAAATCCAGCAGTATCAACCAAAAGAAGTTGTCCATTAGGAGTTGCAGCAGCTGCGGACACCTCTATTCCTCCTCGCGGAACCAATGCCATCATGTTTAGCCGTTTCACGAATTCACCACGAGCTTCGAAGATTTGAGCGCGGGTTTTGCCATCGCCGCCTTTATCAAGAACAACATAACGAACGATATCTCCACGGAGAGCAATAACTTTGCGTGGGAAACACAATTGTCCGTCATCAGTGCCAGGGCGACCTATTTTCCAAGGATGTGGTGGGCCACAAACAACAACTCGATGATTATTTGTATCGGCAATCAAGATGTCATCAGTGTCTGACAGGCAAAAACCAGATGGACAGTGCAACTCTCTGATAGTGCTTCCTTGTTGAGAAGTTCCGAAAACACTATGAACTTTCAGGTCAGTGACTCGCTGTGAATTAGCATTTTGTAGACTAGTATCAGCTATGTTTGGAGCTGAAGTTGAGTTTACGACAGCAGTTGCGGCCAGCGCAGCGGCGGCGGCATTTGAAAGCTGTGGATTCATAGTCAGAGAGCTCATTGCATTCATAGCCAATATTTCCTGGAGTGGTTGATTATTTCGAAGAGTGGCCTGAAATGAGAACAATTTGAATAAAGGGGTTGCTTATTTTCAATTTTACCAGTGACAACATTTGCGGATTCAGCCGAGACATCGCTTGAAGTTGGACAGCAGCCAATTTCTGTTGCATGTAAGCTGCTGATGCATTCGAAGAGAGACCAGTTGTAGTCGGAGTTGGCACAGAACCAATACCGGGACGATTCGGCCACATTGGGAACATAGCCTCGGGGAGCTGATTTTGATTTCCGGTTCCATTTGTGAGAGCGTTCAAATCCATGTGATTAGCCAGCGCGACTAAATCTGGACGCATGCCCGCTGCCACTGCAGCCAAAGCAGCAGCATTCGGAAGATTTGAAACTTGCGGGTGAGATACGATGGGGGCTGATGGCTGAGATGGTAGTAATGCTGGTGGGCCATTAGTTGGAGGTGGACTTGTCGAATCTGGTGGATGACTGCTTGGTGGCCAATCTCTGAAGGCGTTATCACCGATGGATCGAACACCGTTTGTACCATTTTGGGTGTTCTTTTTACGCTCTCCTCCGATAGCTCCAAGTTGAGGATTTTGTTGGTATACCGGACGACCCCATTCTGTAAATGAAATTAAGATAAAAACCATGAAACGTTTTGACTAGCGATTAAGAATGTGAAAAAGGTGTCTTACTAAAACTAACTTCAAAACTTTTTTTAAAACTAAAACTAAAACTAAATAATCTAAATAACTATACTAAAACTAATTAAAAACTAACGCATGCTCTCCCACAGAACAATTCCGAACTGCAAATTAATTTTTGATCTACAGAAAAAAAAGTTTGGCGCGATCACAATTGCAGGTCTAAAACCATAATTTCAGAATTTTTTATCTGATTCTGTGGAGATTGAAGATGATTCAAATGATTCTTAAAAAATTAATTAGTGGTTATAGATTCATGTATGGTCCTTTTCCGGACGAAAAAATTTCAAAAATGGTCATTTTTGAAAGTTTTTTACAGAAAAAATCTATCTCCTCTTTCAGTTTTTGACATTTCTAGGAGTTCTATAGCTCAAGAAAACCGCAATTATTTTCTCCACATTTTCTATGGACGAATTTTCAATTTGTCTGATAAAACTTTTTTTGTAATTCAAAAACCTCATGAAATTGCACAAAATAACATTTTTGCGTTGTTTTTTGATTATAAAAAAAGTTTTATCAGACAAATTAAAAATTCATCCATAGAAAATGTAGAGAAAATAGTTGCGGTTTTTTTGAGCTATAGAACTCCTAGAAATGTCAAAAACTGAAAGAGGAGATAGATGTTTTCGGTAAAAAACTTTCAAAATGACCATTTTTGACATTTTTTTCTTCCGGAAAACGACCATACA